ATTCATAACTTTGCCGAAAATCTCGTTTTTCAAACCTCTTCAAAACCTAAACACCTTTGGGAAATTTTTCAAAGACAAGTACTCTTTCAACTCGATTGTAAGTCATTTCTAACTCGTTTTCATTAATCTTTAACATCTTTTCACATGATTTCAACTCAAAATCAAGGATTTTCATGGGGAAAATTGGGTGTTTTGGGTTAGAGCTTAGGTTTTTAAAATTTTGGGGATTTGTAACTCGATTTGAGGTCCGATTTTAAAACAAATTATATATTTGGGTTTGTGGATGAATGGGTAATCGGGTTTTGGTTCGAACCTCGGGTTTTGACCATGTGGGACTGGGGTCGATTTTTGACTTTTGGGGTAAAAAACTTTAGAAAACTTATTTTTATGCATTAGAATTGATTCATTTAGCATTTATTGATATAGTTAAGTAACTTGTGGCCAAATACAAGCGAATTGATGGTGGAATCAAGAGGTAAAGCGGTAGTTGAGGCTTGAATTGTGTTTGTGACATCGAGGTAAGTGTTTGGTCTAATCTTAGCTTGAAAGATTAGGAGTTGTGTCCTATTTGCTATGTGTTAGTTGTTGAGTACGACGTATAGGCATGGTGATGAGTATCTATACGTTGGTGTCAAGCATGCTCGTGAGTCTTATATTATGATTAATGTGCTCTGTTTGTATTGTTCATGCCTTATGTGATGATTTCTATTGTTGAGCATGGTTTGTGGAAGTAATATTGGTATTTGAACATTGAAGAGCGTTGACTCAAGTTTTTACATGATTTATGGAAGTATAATTGGCAATTGAACCTTATAGAGCATTGGCTAAAATTGTGAATTGAGTTGTGAAGTAAATGTGAAAAAAAAGAAAAGAGGATTATGATATTGTCTCTCTTGCCAGGACGTTGTTGTTTTAATGTTATCTCCTTTGCCGGGATGTTATTGTTTTGATCTTGTTTCCCTTGCCGGGATATGTTTGTTGTACTATTGTTCCCTTGTCAGGATTTTATTGTGAATTTGTTGATTCCCTTGCTCTTATTGCTTTATGATTGTTGTTTGGGTGAGGAAGAGTGTTAAAGCACGAAGGGTGATGTTGTGTATGATTTTTGTGAGGAAGAGTGTAAAGCACGAAGGGTGATACCGTGTATGATATTTGTAAGAGAGTGTTAAAGCACGAAGGATGATGTCGTGCCGCACGATGTACAATTCCGTGCCATGATATGAGTGTTAATGCATGAAGGATCATTTTGTGCCATGATTATGTGAAGTAAATTCGTGCCATGATTATGTGAAGTAAAAGCACGAAGGGTAATACCGTGGCGATTTTATTGATTTTATGGTGAGGACGAGAGTAAAAGCACGAAGGGTAATACCGTGGCGATTTTATTGATTTTATGGTGAGGACGAGAGTAAAAGCACGAAGGGTGATGTCGTGCACTTGTCTTTTTGTTGCTATTTGTTGTCTCCCGCAGCATGATTTCCCCCTTCCTATCTTTAATTGTAAAGTCTTGCTTTTATTTTTCCGTTGTATATGAATTCACTGCACATGTTTATTTGGTAGTCTGGTCCTAGCCTCGTCACTACTTTGCCGAGGTTAGACTAGGCACTTACCAGCACATGGGGTCGGTTGTGCTGATACTACACTCTGCACTGTGTGCAGATCCCGGTGCAACAGTTTTCGGACCGTAGTGAGGGCGCTGTCTTCAGTCCATTCAGGCGACCTGAGGTAGTCCTGCAGGCGTCTGCAGGCCTTAGCATCTCCTTCTATCCTTTCATCCTGTTTCATTTATGTATTTCCGAGACAGTATTATATTTATTTTTTGGACTCTTATTTGTAGTAATCTTATACCATCTGTGAAATTGTGACATCAGTTCTGGATAGTCTTTATTTAAGGAATTGTATTGGAAATATTTAAATGATTTAATTTTGTTCTTCCGCTTATTTAAATTCCACTGTTTATATAATGTTGGTTCATAATTGTTAAAGGATTAAAAAATGGGAAAAAGGTAAATAATTCAAATGGTTGGCTTGTCTAGCTTTCACTAGTAGGCGTCATCACGACTCCCGAGGGTGAAAAATCCGATTCATGACAGATTATCATAAATTTGAAGTTGGATCTAAGATATAATCATGAAATATAGTTGAAAATTGAATAGAGTTACTTACCCAATGTTTGTAGATAAAAATCCCCTTTGTAGATCACCTCTTACCGAGCCTAGGATTCTAAAATGAGAGAATATGATGAAATATCCTGACTCCCAGCCCTTTTGTTCAACTAAAGATATTGCATTTGCGACACTGGGTTCATATTTGCGAACCCTCGCAATTGCAGAACAGGGATCACAATTGTGAACCCTAACAGACTCCTCAGAAGTCGCAATTGCGACAAAGTTTTCGCAAATGCGAAGCTGACATCTTTCGCAAAAGCGACCAATTGGTCGCAATTTCGACCCTAACCCAGGCGTGTTGACTTCACAATTGCGAAGGGTAAAAGTCTCATTTGCGACAACTGACCACCCTTGCCCACTCCGCGATTGTGAGACTGGTGCTCGCAATTGTGACATTAGAGCACCAGCACACCGGCAATTTTAATTCAGTTCAAAACCATTCCGCGAAATGTCTGAAACTCATCCGAACCCCCGAGACTCCAAACCAAACATCCATACAAGTCCAAAAGTATCATATGAACTCGATCGCACGATCAAAATACAAAATTAACATCTAGAATTACGAATTGGACATCAAAACGCATGAATTTTAAAGAAAAGTTACAGAACCTTTAGAATTGCATCCAAGCGTCCGAATCCTACCAAATCAACTCCAAATGATACCAAATTTTGCAGACAAGTTCTAAATAGCATAATGGACCTATTCCAAGTCCCAAATCTAAATTTTAAACCCGATAACTAAATGTCAATCTGTGGTCAAACTTCTAAACTTAAAATTGCCAATTTTCGACAAAACAACACAAAGCAACCTACCGACCTCCGAATTTCATTCTAGGCATACGCAAAAGTCCAAAATCACGATACGAACCTATCGAAGCCAATAAAAACCGTTCCGTGGTCGTTTTTACAAAAGTCAAAGTTTGGTCAACATAACCAACTTATGCTTCTAAGCCAAGAATCAAAAGGTCCAAATCAAGCCAAAACCTTCCCGGAAAGAAACCAATCAACCCTGTAAGTCATAAAACCAAAATTACATATGTTTGAAGCATCAGCAAGGGAAATAGGGCGCAAATACACAAAATGACCGGTCGAATCGTTATACTCTACTTAGTTATAATCACACAATTCAACTTTGATTGACTCGAATGAATACTAATTTGAGTGAAATTAGTAGTTAGTTAACATAAAACTCTCCGGGTTCGACATTCTACTCATTATTATATTATTTGTTGACCAAGTATAGTTGCGGGGTAATTGGGAGCAACAACAATGGTGTGAATTTCACCCTGTGGTTTATGATCAATCAATTGACAATTATTGTCATCATGTTGTGTCTTGAATATTTGTCGAACACATCTAACGAAAAATAGAAGAAGTGTAGGATTTCAATTAGATATCTTGGATTTTCGAAAAAAATTGCAAGTATATAACAGACTACATTACTATATAAACTAATTTTGTTAGTATTGTGGAGAACCAAATTGCTAGAGGCCACTCTCATGGGGCTTTCTTTGTTTATTGGATTCTTAATTTATCGTATGCACCATTACCTTGGGAAGTTGATTGTATTGCGGAATACTGCAGGATCTTCAGTGAAAGAATTTAAAGGCGGTTGAGAAAGAAAAGATGCAGTTTAAGGAGAAGGCAGATAAATCTGCCAAGAAAATAAAATTATCGCAGAAAGATATCTCTAATTTGTGCCTGTACGCCTTGACCCTTCTATTAGCAGAATGAATTTTGAGAATTGTTGTTAATCATTAAGAATATTGTAGTATTATTTTTTAGATACAGATATTGCTAAAATTCAAATGCCTTGTATCAGATTATTAAGGTATGTTATTTCTATTCTTAACTCAATTGAGAGTTCAATCCTATTAGAAAAATTAATTATATTCATTAGCTCGAAATGTACTTTGTCTATAAATTAATTCCACACACACAAAAAACTGGGAAAATTTTCATATCAGAATATGAAAACTTGGCAAGAAAAATCATTCCAAGATATCTTCAATTACTTTGCATTCAACTATTACATCAAAGAAATAACACTAATTTTTTAGAATTCATCTTTTTCAAGAACTCGAATTTTTTTTCCTTTAATTTTCTTTAATAGTTCAGACACACTATTTAACTAATACTTATAACATGACTTTTATTAAGTTTGTATTTCATGGTTTAAGTAGTGTGCAACGTGTGTACTCTAAAACTAGTGGCTTTTAAAAGTGACAGAATACTTTATTTAAGTGAAAGAGGACATAAAAAATAAAATTAAAATGCATAAATTAAAGTAGTTAAAAGAACTTAAAGCAGACAGAAAATTAGCACTGCAAATGATTTGGTAAGTGTCTTCTTACGTTCCCTATTATGCTGAACACCTTAGGAATTTTATTTCTTTATTGTCGTGGTGTTCAGTCCAATATATGCATCGTCGGCCAATTTTTATGGGTATATATTATTTTCCATTAATGCTAAAACACCTTGAGATTATTGATCATAAGCCGTAGCATATATAGCTTGAGATATATAGTTACAACTTGATTGTTCAGATTGGAAAATAAAAGTACAAAACCATAGACTAATAGCTATATTACGGTGGCATTTGATTGAAATTAAATATGAAAAGCAAGAGCTACACCCATAATACATCTTTATTTAGTTTAATTTGTCATATAATTACATCTTTATTTAATTAGTCATAATATATTTCCTAATAAATAACTTAACACATGAGAAAGGGGAAAGACAACACCAATGATTATTAAAACTTATATAGCATGATTTTATTCACTTTAACTTTTATTTTAACTATTCACAAAAGTTCAAGGCAGTTTCTCATTGTAGTACTCCTTGTTTGTTGTTGTTGTTGTTAGTACTGCCACCATTATAGTACTCCTTGTTATTGTTGTTATTATTAGTACTGCCACCATTGTAGTACCCCTCGTTGTTGTTGTTGTAGTTAATACTACCACCATTGTAGTATTTCTCGTTGTTGTTGTTGTAGTTAATACTACCACCATTGTAGTATTTCTCGTTGTTGTTGTTACTGTTGCCACCATTATAATACTCCTTGTCATTGTTATTAGTACTGCCACCATTGTAGTACTCCTTATTATTGTTGTTTTTATTGATGATGTTGTTAGTATTGCCACCACTATAGTACTCCTCCTCGTTCTTGTTGTTGTTGTTATTATTATTGTAGTACTCCTCATTGTTATTTTTGTTGTTGTAACCATTATAGTACTCCTTGTTGTTGTTGTTGTTATTGTAGTGGTTAGTACTGCCACCATTGTAGTACTCCTCATTGTTGTTGTTATTATAGTTATTATTATTGTTAGTAATACCATCATTGTAGTACTCCTTGTTGTTATTAGTATTGCTACCATTATAGTACTGTTTTTAGTTGTTGTTGTTGTTAGTATTGCCACCATTGTAGTACTTCATGTTGTTATTATTTTTATTGTTAGTGCTACCACCATAATAGTACTCCTTGTTGTTGTTGTTCTTGTTGTTAGTATTACCACATTATAGTACTCTCTATTGTTGTTGTTGTTATTGTTGTTATTGCTATTAATACTACCACCATTATAGTACTTCTCATTATTGTTGTTAGTAGTAGTAGTACCACCATTATAGTACTCTTCGTTCTTGTTAATATTGCCACCATTGCAGTACTCCCAATTGTTATTGTTTTTGTTGTTACTATTGCCAGTATTTTTGTACTCCTCATCGTTATTATTGTAGTTCTCGTCGTTCTTTAGGACAGTGACATAGGCCACAGGGCTGTAATTCTGGAAAAGGTATTTGCTATTGGGAATATTATTAGTTGGGGTGGTGGTGGGGTTGATTTTTTTGTAGGATTTTTCTATATTATTAGTAGTGGTTGTGAATGGAGGAAGTTGACCAAACTCATGACCATATACGCCATACCCATTATTTTCATTTTCAGACAAGAAGTTTGGTTCTTGTTCTTTGTTGGAAACCACTTGTGTCTTTTTTTCAGCATTGTAGTTGCTGGAGATTTTGTTAAAGAATTGACTTTCTCTAGCATGAATTTGCAATAAAGAAATGAGGGTAAGAAGGAGGAAGACTGTATTGGGAAAAATTGAGTTTATGTTAAAGTGGTATAAAGATAACGTGTCATGACACATAGACTGGTCAAAGAGATACAACTAGCAAAGAGGTACGAGTTGCAACAGATGCGAGCAGAGGCAAATGAAGAGGCACGAGCAGTTATGTAAAAGACACAGCGCTCGTGCTTATTTAAGTCCAAGAATTAAGGGGAATGAATCTAACATTACATGGGAGTATAGATACAGTATTTATTGAGCCTTAAATACTAAAAACGTTAGAGAATCTGTATTAAATGCAATGATTATGTAACGTAGCCTTTAATGTCTTTAATTGTCCATAATAGCCTTATTATGACAAAGACAAAACACATATCCCCAAAATAACTATAAAAGGGGGAGAGTGGGTCAATTGTAAGGAACACGAAAAAATAATCTGAATATATTGGTTTACTTGCTTTCTTCTGATTATATCATTGCTAGTAAAATTACGCTCTTTCATATATACTTTTGATTATCAGAAACCCGAGTTCTTCTAAAATTAAAGCTTTGACCGAAATCTCATTTTTTGGTTAAACAAAGACGAAGGAGAAATGATTGGTAAAGGCAGCCATAAGAGAAGGAAGAAATAAATAAATTTGTATAATGTCTTAATGCTGTGAACTTGTTGTAATTATTTCTTTATATAGAAACCACTTCTCATTTTTAAGTGTGGCAATCTTTAAGTGTTTAAATCTTACTTTTGAAATTATTTTGAAACTTACTTTACTTTTTTCTTCATTTGTCCAAGGGGAGGTGAGGGGAAAGGTTCGAATGATTATTGTTTCCTTCCAAAATTTCCTGCTGATTAGGTGCAAATAGGGACATGTAAACTGGAGGAAAATAGTGGTCCTTTTATATTAATAAGGAAAGTACTGTTTTGTGTTTACTTTGTATATTGATAATATAAAAATTATTTTTAAAATTATTTAAAAGGTAATTACATGTGATTATATGTAATAAGTGAATTTAGCAACCGAAAGAATAAAATAAATAATCTTTTATAACATATTAAATTACACATATAAAGGTTACATTATATGGCCAGGAGATATAAGTGCTTACTACTTAGTTCATATATTAGATATCGATAGTACTCTTTCTTTAGTTTTTACTATAGTTTTCTACTTTAGAAATAGGAAGAGAGAAATAAAAAAAGAAAAAAAGTTAGAAAATGAACAAAGACAGATAAGGTGATAAACGTGGATTTTGGAAGAGTGTGGGAGGGTTTAAAGAAACTTCCATATTAGGAACATGGAAAATTATGACATTAGGTGACCACTCATAAATCAAACATTACGTGCACATCTCTTAATATTGTCTACTAGAAAGTGCATCCCCAAAACCTAACCTTTTTTTCACTTCTCCTGCGTTTGGTTGATCCTCTTCATTCTTCTACTCTATCTCAATTTGCATGCACATTTAAGTATGTCCAATAATTGACTTATATTATATTCCACTTCAAATAGTGTATGTCTAGAAGAAATAATGTGTATTTAAAAAAATATTTAAAAAGTAGTCAGTGAATTATTGTGTGTTTACCCCAATTCATAAAATTTATCATGGTTAAGTGAAGAAAATATAATTTTTATTATTATTTTTGGTGATAATTAGTGTGTTTAGTCTAAATTCATGCGGTTAAGCTTTTTGCTCTGTGTGTGATTGAAAAATAGACAGTTGTGTTGGAAAAAGTAATATATCACAATATATTTGTCACGATCCCAGTTCGCCCTCCGTGAACTATCGTGACGGCACCTAGTCTCTACGACTAGGTAAGCCTAACAAATGTGGAAAAGAAAATAATTGCGGAAAGAAAATAATTAAAAACTGAGATAACAAAATTAAACAGTAATTAAGATGCTGTCTGGCATATAACAGTACAAAATCTCAACCTAGCACTCCCAAAATCCAGAACCGCATGAATCACAAGCTAAGAGTTTACATAAAAAGCTCTAATTCCAGAAATATCTATCAACAAGGAAAATACAGAAGGGCTATACTAGTACTGAGAATAGAAAGGGACTCTTCGGTCTGCAGACGCAGCAGATATACCTCGAAGTCTCTATGAAAGCACCTTGCCTCAAGTGTGATAAGACTGAGTGGAAGTACCTGGATCTGCACATGAAAAACATGCGCATAAAGGACATGAGTACACCACAGCGGTACTCAGTAAGTGTCAAGCCTAACCTCGGTCGGGTAGTGACGAGGAAAGTCAGGGCCTTACTGAGATTAATGAAATATAAGGTATAACAGTATAGAACAAGACAATATAATTAAGTGCAACAACAAGAAATAACATAAAATAGAAAGAACAACAGCAACTATAACAGAGGCAAAACAACCACGGAAAGGAGTACAGCTCAACACAGAGGTAACAACTGGGGATTTCCTAGGATACCGTCCTGGAGTCCCAAATATACATATCCAGTGGATCTCCCGGGATACCGTCCCATAGTCCAACTCATAGTGCGCGGGGATCTACCGGAATCTCGATCCGTAGTCCCAAATATAAATACTCAGTACAGGAGAATCTACCGGGTGCAGTCCCGTAATTCTAATATAAAAGTGCAGGGAGATCTCCCGGAATACCGATCCGTAGTCCCAAAGTAAACATGCAGGGGATCTCCCGGGATACCGTCCCAAAGTAAACACACAGCAACAACACAAAGAATGCACAATTTCATTTCAAATTCCATAACAAGGTAAAAACAGGTATTTCTAGCCTAGCATGCTGCACATAATCCAAATAAAGCAGTCTAAGCAAGTAACGCAATTAAGTCAATTAGACATGCTTCCCTAAACTAACAACATGTTTAAATTGCAAGTAGTATAAACAAGAAAAGAAACACAGTTAAAAATACTTAAAGAAAACATGATTTTCAACAATTAGCACAAGTATGCACTCATCACCTCACGTACAAGGCATTTCAAATATCAATAATACCAAATCTTAAGGGGAGTTCCCCCACACAAGGTTAGACAAGCCACTTACTTCGAACCGGCTCAATAACCAACTCGAAACCACGTTCTTGCCACGAGTACTCGACTCCAAATGACCCAAATCTATTCAATTCAATTGCATAATGTAAATAACACTTCAAGTAATTGATTCCGCTAATAAATTTTAAGCTATTACGCGAAATTGGGTAAAATGATAAAAATACTCTCCAGGCCCATGTCTCGAAATCGGGTAAAATTTACATTTTCAGAATCCTCATACTCTCACAAGTCTAACCATACCAAAATTATCCAAATCCAATGTAAAATCCCCAATCAAAACTCAAAATTTAGGTCCAAGAACTTTCCCCCAATTTTCCACCATAAATTCGAAATTAAATAATGGATTTAAGTGTAGATTCATGGAAATTAGTCTAAATCGAGTAGGAATCACTTGCCTAAATCGCCTAGGTGAAAATCTCTTCAAAAATCGAAAATTTCCCTAGCTCGCAAGTCCAAAATATGAATTATGGCTCAAACCCTCGATTTTGGGTTTTTAAAATCTACCAAGCTATTTCCTTCTTCGCGAACATGGAAGGACCCTCGCATTCGCGAAGCACAATTCCGCTTGGTCCAGCTTTCCTCTTTCGCGAATGCACTAACCAGCCTTCATCCTCCTACGCAAACGCGAGACTACCCTCGCGAACGCGTAGGTATAAGATCCCATAGCCTCGTCAACGCGGAAATGCCTTCGCGAACATGAAGAACTAACCCTTCACCAGCCCCAACTCCTCTTCGCGAATGCAAACCCCACTCGCGAACGTGAAGAAGGAAACCAGAACCGACTACTGCAACTTTTTTTGCAATTTTTCTAAGTTCCAAAATGACCCGTTGAGCATCCGAAACACACCCGAGGCCCCCGGTACCTCAACCAAACATGCAAACCAATCCTAAAACATCATTCAAACTTGTTCCAATCTTCGAAACACTCAAAAAAATATCAAAACACCAATTTAACATCGGATTCAAGCCTAAGAACTCCAAAAACTCTCAAATTACGCTTTCGATCAAAAAGTCTATCAAACCTCGTCCAAATGACCTGAAATTTTGCAAGCACGTCACATTCAACACTACGGAGATACTCCAACTTCCAAAATTTCATTCCGACCCCGATATCAAAATGTCACTGTCGAACCGGAAACTTAAAAAATTCAACTTTCAGCATTTCAAGCCTAAATAAACTACGGACCTCCAAAACACAATCCAAACATGCTCCTAAACTTGAAATCACCCAACAGAGCTAACGGAACCGACGAAATTCCATTTCGAGGCTGTCGTCACACTGCTCTGACTGCGGTTCAAATTCTAAAGCTTAAGCTCTCATTTAGGGACTAAGTGTCCCAAAACACTCTGAAACTCAAAACCAAACATCCCGGCCAATCAAAATAGCAGAAACAAATACGTGAAAAGCAGTTAATAGGGGATCGAGGCGTAAATTCTTAAAACGACCGGCCGGGTCGTTACAGTATTTTTCTTTTTTGACACATTTTCAGCCTTTTTATTTTTCGTAAATATGAATATGATTATTAACACCCCTATGTATTGGTAAGGTCAAGGCGATCATTTCGGCAAAATTTAACTCGCAGATTAGAAGTTGTATTACAATTTGATTTATCAAACAAATTTATTGGTATAATGAAACTTAGTTTGAACATAGATAAAATATTAGAAAAAACACAATTAATGCACTAAGATTATATGGATGCAAAAAATAAAAAGTACTTAAATTCATATTAGTTTGAAGTTGGAAAGAAGGGAAAATTTTGGAAGGCTGTAGATCAATCACAAATTGGTGTATGATTCATGATTTTGATATTAAAATGTCGATGGAGACAAGATAGATATGAGCAGTGTTTAAAAAGTATAGGCGTAAGGCAAGATATTTATCTAACACGGGGCGAGGTGTAAGCCTTGAGATGCAGGGTGAAGCCCCATGGATATTAATTTTAGATATTTATAAATTAATAAAATAAATATATAAATAAAAAATACATTAAAATTAAAAAATTCAAGAAAAATAAAATAGACAGTTGTGTTGGAAAAAGTAATATATCACAATGTATTTTTCTTCTTTGACACATTGTTAGCCTTTTTCTTTTTCGTAAACATGGATATGATTATGAACTCCCCTATGTATTGGTAAGTGCCTTCTCCCCTAATTCTTTATGTGAATTTATGGTCAAGGCGATCATTCCGGCAAAATTTAACTCGCAAATTAGAAGTTGTATTATAATTTGATTTATCAAACAAATTTATTGGTAACTTAGTTTGAACATAGATAAAATATTAGAGCAAACACAATTAATGCACTAAGATTATATAGATGCAAAAAATAAAAAAGTACTTAAATTCATATTAGTTTGAAGTTGAAAAGAAGGAAAAATTTTGGAAGGCTGTAGATCAACCACAAATTAGTGTATGATTCATGATTTTGATATTAAAATGCCGATGGAGACAAGATAGATATGAGCAGTGTTTTAAAAAGTATGAGTGTACGACGAGACATTTATCTAATACGGGGCGAGGTGTAAGCCTTGAGATGCAGGGTGAAGCCCCATGGATAATAATTTTAGATATTTATAAATTAATAAAATAAATATATAAATAAAAATACATTAAAATTAAAAAATTCAAGAAAAATAAAATTAGTAGGAAAATGTATATATCTATTATAACATGCTACCATATGCACAAACTTTATAAAAAATATTTTTTTACATTGAAAAAGTAAAAAACGCAAAGATGCATTACATCTGTAACATGACTATGATGGAACATAAGTAGAATTGTAAAAATAATGTTTTAGTTCTAAATAATTCAAGGAATTAAAAACAAAAATAAAATAATATTATTATCTAAAAGCCTAAAACTACATAACAGATCACAAATACTTATTATACTACAAATAGCGAGAGTCTTCAAAATAATATATAAACTAGAGTGATACCAATGAAATTCTAAAACCAAACGCAAAATTAAAGGAAAAGAAACTTGAAGGAAATTAAGCACAAATAAGAAAAATGTTGTAATGATTCGGACGATCGTTTCGAGAGTTGTAGCTTCGTTCACCCATTTTTTTGCTTCTTTTGTATTCTACAGTTGTATTATGAATTATCGAGTAAGTTGATTTGGGTCTGGAGTGATTTCAGAATGAATTGAGACACTTAATCTCTTATTTGAAAGCTTAAGTTGGAAAAGTTGACGGGATGTTGACTTATGTGTAAACGACCTCGAATTTAAATTTTTGTGGTTTCATTAGCTCCGTTAGGTGATTTTAGATTTAGGAGCACGTCCAGATTTTATTTTGGAGGTCCGTATTAGAATTAGACTTGAAATGCCGAAAGTTGGAATTTTGGAAAGTTTGGCCGGGAGTGAACTTTTTGATATTGGGGTCGGATTGAATTTTAGGAAGTTGGAGTAGGTTCGTGGTGTCATTTATGACTTGTGTGCAAAATTTGAGGTCAATCGGACATGATTTGATATGTTTTGATGTTGTTTGTAGAATTTGGGAATTTCAAAATTCATTAGGCTTGAATTTGTGAGTAACTCGTGTTTTTGATATTGTTTGAGGTGATTTGAGGATTCGACTAAGTCCGTATGATATTTTTGGACTTATTGGTATGTTTGGTTGAGGTCTCGTTGGTCTTGAGTGAGTTTTGGGTGGTTAAGGGATCATTTTTGGACTTTGGTTGATGGCTGATATCTGATGGTGTGATTCTTCTGGTTTCCTTTATCTGTCAAAAATCAAGGTCAAGATTGAGGCCATGATTGAGGGCAGAATATAGAGGGCAGAATTGAGGGTAGAATCAAGGGCAGAATCGAGGGTAGCGACCAAGGGAAGGACCGAGGGCGCCCTGGACAGAAACTTTAAGTTATAAAATAAGGGGACTTCATCCCATTTTCCATTTTTGACAAATTAGGGCTTGGGGAGAGGCGATTCTTGAGAGATATTTCAAGAAAAAACATTGGGGTAAGTGATTATTACTTGGTTTTAGCTAAATCCCATGATTATGTCTTTAATTTCATCATCTAATTTGTGATTTGGGGTGAAAAATTGGGGGAAAAGAGGAAGTGTTCTTGAGATGGA